GAAGTGTCGCATACACATGTAGCTGCGATTACAGAAATTAAGTATCAATGGGAATGTACTCTATATAGGTTCCAAATTGAAGAATTGACTAGATTAGACATGATGAAATACATGTTCTTTCTTGAAGAATGCCTCATACATATGTTGCTAATGTTGTTTTGAACACGTCCACCTAAAAAGCCTTGGCAATTGATTACATAGCCTCTTACCAAACTTTTCACCAATTTCAGGAACCGTCTCAAACGCTCATATCCGTTGCAAAGAATACCATTGTTATCGAGTTTCTATGCACATGACAATATATTTGTATTAAAATAATAATTAGTACTATTCCAAGAATAATTATTCATACCTGCATGTCAATGGAAAATTCGTGAATTGTATAACTGATCTTCTTCTCTTTTTTTTTTTAATTTTTTTTTGCCTTGGCCTTACGAAATTTATTTGCCCAACTACTCCTAAATCCTTTTAATAGACGATTGTACCCCTCTTTACCCCAGGGGTAGTCAAAAAAGATGTTTAGGTTGTCGACGATAGATAGTGTGTCGATATCGATACCCTCATTATTATTCGGAGTATCAAATACTCCCTCGACAATTAAAGCAAGGCCAACACAACACTAAAACAACGGGCTTTTCGGAATGGGCAATTAAGGAGCAGTAAACTAACAGCCCTAGCCCATTGTGGGTTGTGGCCCAGATTAATAAAGAATATGGCAATTTACAGAAATATACCAAAATCACATACCTACACGTACAGCATAAAAATTAGACTAACAATTAATTAAGCTTATTAAAAAGTAAATTTGTATGAATATAAACAATAACAAAATCCCCCTTAGATTTACCGTAATATATGAAAAGCACCTAAGATTTGCCGGTTGTTTGAATTAAAGACTCAATTTAGCACTATTATACAGTTAGAAAGTATTTCGTTTACCATCACACCAATAATTTTTCATTTATTTGTTAATTATTATTGATAATAGTTTCTATTTAACCAATTTTATATACACAACAAACATCATGCAAACCTTCTACTTTTTGGCCATTTTCCAAAATGGGTATTATATTGGATATTTCTCACAATTTTCTCTTTTTTGTTTCAAATCCATGATTGAATTCAATGCTATAATTCTTGCAACCGGATTGTTGATTCAGTCGCGAGATCCGCATAGTTTGGGACGAAACCACCACAACCAAAGTTGGATTTTCTTTGTTGATAGACTGTTTATATAAATAACAGTCATACTTGGTGTACACCCTTATTTGCATTGCAAATTGCGATTTGACAGTTAAAAAAAAACTATTTTCTCATCCAATCAATTTTTGACAATCATGCAAATTTATTTTTACTTTTTTTTTTTTCCAAAATTTAAATTTTCGCACTTCGACTTATGATTCAGACTATTGTGGACGACTAGTCCCCGAAATTAATTGTCAATTAATTTTCCCAAACTTAGGGCTTTGCCTTGCGTTGTTTCAAAAAAAAAAAAAAAAAATTGCAAGTCAATTTTTATCCCAAAAATGAAGAATTTCTGACTGCCTAAGCAAATATGGCCACAAGTTTATATATGTACTATCATCATGATTAGTGCCGACAATTTATCAAACATAAGACAAGTTGCTCGTTTCTTTAGTTGTTACGTGTGTAAAACGAGATTTGCATATCTGCATTCGCATGAATAAGACAGAATAATTGACCCTTGTTAATCCCCATCACTACTTTCAACTCTTAACTTTTCTTATCAAATTTAATAAAATTGGATGGTTTTCATTTTTTTCCTTTTTAATGCATCATTGTAGATTAATTATGCAGCCAAAATAAAGGATTTGAAATCAATTTAAAACATCTTGAAAGGTAAGTACACTAAATTATTAAAAATAAAAAAAAATTTGTAAAATTGTCTCAGGAATCTTGTGATTGTAAAAGTGAAAAGTGCTTTGGAAAAGGAGAAATTGATTGATTTGGAAACTCAAGAAATACATAATTGTGATACTTAACTATTTATTCTTTTTCGGGATAATTGCTTAGGTTAGTTATTTAAAAAATATAGAGCTTTGCTGCACAATCAGGAAAAAAAAAAAAAATCACCAAAATTGCAACAGACCACTCACACAAGGTGGGGCCCGCACATTTTTTTTCTTTTTAAATACATGATGGGGCCCACATTTGTCTCTATTCTGGTTATTTTTTTTGTACAAATACTTTTTCTCAAAAATATATGGTTAAATCAATTATGTAGATCAATAGAAAAATTGTATCTAAAATTATACATGAAGTCTTAGAATTAGAAGTGAGTGTTTTCTTTTTCTAATTTTCCTTTAAAATTTATTTTCATTTGAATTGGATGACAAAATTATATGTTTATTCAGACGTTACGTTGTCTTACATACGAAACATTAAACCTCACTATTTATTGCCAAATGCATATTTGGATACCTATGATCGAGAAATTTATAATAAGATTTTAGCACCAATCAATTCGAAAAAGGAGAATCGTGCATATAATATGTATTTAATATATTTTGAAAGTAAATAAAAATGAAGGTAGTTATATATTATAACAGCAAAAGTAGATGTTCCTTTGCATACTTTTCTATGTTTCTATGCATACTTTTCTAAGTCAAAATTTTGAAAATAACGAATTTTGGTAAGAAGACAATAATCTTACCATGGCTATGTTTGGTATCAATTCTCATTTTCAACCACACGTTCTTCAATAAAATAATATTTTCCATCACATCAATAATCTTATCTTCTTTTTCAACCACACATTTCCCATCATATCACTATTCAAAATCAATCATTCCTCCAAAAAATCCCTACCAAACACACACTATATGCTACATCAGATTGGATGGAACATATGAACGTCAAAAGAGGCATCCAAGTGGACCATTGATTTGTTGGCCCATAGATCTATTGATTAGTATGTGAAAAAATAATGAAAAATAACAAAATTATGTAGCGTGCAAGTTCGTTCTTATAGTCGTCTATTAATCAATAGATATTAGCTAATGTCGTGTTTGATATGCATTACTAATCATGACAAATTGAAAAACAAACGATAGTTTTTCTAGTAGAGTTTAAACTCGTAATATTAGGTTATGTATTGCATAACAAACATTACCGTTTTTTAAAATTTTGACGTATTGAACATGTTCTAACTTTTATTTTAGGCAAAAACCTACAACGGTAGATTATGAACTCAATTTGAAATGCTACCTATATGCTTAACACATACAATTCGAATGTTGAAGTACATTCATATAATCCTTTTTGTATCATCTCAAAGCAGATAGAACCCAGGTCAAGGTAGCTTAACGTTATATTTAAGCAATGCTTACTCATAACAGTCCATATAACAGTGACATGTGACTTTTTTCAATGAATTACAGTGTATTTCAAATTTATATCAGAATCGATCTAAGTTTGGCAATCATGTTCTAACATTGACTCGTCTTAATATTTGATCTGTTGAATATCAAACTACACAAATGAATGTTTAGTTTCGAATGTAGGACAAAAATTGAACTAGATCAAAATCGATTACTTCTAACATATTTTAATTCGATAATACAATTAAATAGAATATTTTATCACTCAATGATTAATTAATAGCAAAGTACAAACAATGGTCACAAACTAGATAGTATTATTAACTATGATATGACATCAACATCAAGAAGTTGAATTGTTCAACTTATCCCATACAATACGATGAAAATCATATTGTTGAAAATCATGTTGGTTCAATAATGGAATTGAAGAAAATGAGACAAGGAAGAGAAGAAGACACGTGAATATCACGTGGAGTTTGACCCACCGGTCCCCTAAAGGACAAAAGTCGTGGGGTTATATTATTTTCTTATTCGGGCCATGGGCCCATCAGCCTAATCTGCTGTTATTAAATTTCGTATTCTTCTCTTTACCGACAAATAAACGTGTCCCAACCCAACCGTTCCATCTGAATCTACACACATCATTCTAACGTCCAACTGATTTTCCATTAATCACGCACTTTTTGTCTCGTTAGAACCAACCGACACAACTTTAGTAAAGGCCTGATTTTACTCGATTTTTTTGTACAAACGATCCATTTCAAATATCTTTATCGTATCTCGTCTTTGAGAATAATGTTATTTGTCGCTAAAGACGATGAATTATTGATATGATTATTGTCATACTATCGAATAAAAGAAACTGCATCCCAAGTGTTATGGTACTATATATTTAATTCATTAACACATGACGATAGTACTCTTTAATTATTGTAGAGCAGTGTTATTTGTCGATAGTGGTGGTATAATTAGTTTAAGTGACAGTGTGTTATTCAATTTGCTTTTTAATAGATTTGTGATGTATTTAAATGTATAGAAAATATATCGAAAACTTCACTGTCACCTTAACTGATGATGATGAGAATGGTCACATACATAGTAATATACAGATAAAATTAAGGTTGTTAAGTCAGTCGGGATCTAATTGATTGCTAAACTGTTCAGCTGTTCCCTGGTTTTGAAGCTCGCTATCTGCTGTGTGAACCTCTTATGGGCAACTGTTAAAGCTCTTGGTCTCGAAACGGCCGGCTTTGGTTCAGCTCTCGGGGCCACCTCACACACTAAAAAAATCCTAAGCTTCCTTTCCCAGTTTTACGTAATTTTGTTATTGATCCTTAATTTTCGAGCGTGATTCCCAATCTATTTACGCCGGTAAATATGACTTCGAGAAATTGGATAGAAATGTTAAGTGGTTCGGTGAATAATTAAGAGAGAGGAAGAAATTTAGATTATCTACAATAAATAACAATTCTTTCCTTAACAATTACACACACACACTTATATTTCCTTAAAGATTTACAAAACATCTTTAGTGTACAAGATCAGTAATTAATATTTATAATTACTAAAAATTAGTACACTACTTAACTGTAATTAAAAGCCCATCACCAAATAACAAAAAGGTCATGGCAGGGTGGGTTTAATTACTAAAATTCATTAGCAAGCTGTTGATGGCTTGGTCAAGGGATTATAGAAATGTGGCTTGCTCTTTGACCCATTATCACCAACACCAGCGGTGGCGGCGGTGGTGGCGCCGCCCACCCTTTCACAGGATGGACACATGGTTAGGGTGGCCGCCGGCAGCTGCATGTACAAAGGTGGTGGAAAATTCAAAGATTTCAGTTTCTGTAATTCCTTCTGTAGCGCTCTGTTCTCTTCTGTTAATGTCTCTAAGCATTTCTTCAACTGTTCACAATCAACCTCGGTTTTCTTAAGCTTCGTCCTGAAGGAAAAAAAAAAAAAATTATATTATCACCACAAAATTTATGAAATACACGAAATTTTATTATAATGAATGACCTTAGCATTGAAATAACAAAAAAAGACTTAATTGCCTCTCGTAGTTTTACTTAACAAAAATATAAATAACAAAATCAAAGGTTTTACAAAATATTAATCGTTTCAATGCAATATTTCATATAATATTTGGAGAAAAATCGTAATTAGAGACAAGATATAATATTTAGCTTCTGTTATATAGAAATTATAATCTTAATTTTTATCAAAATTAAAGTCAGCAAGTAATTTTAATCACATATTTCATAGATTCCACAAATTTTCAACGACACATTTCATTATATTATATCAAAATTCGCTAAAAATCCGATTTTAATCTCCATCAAGCAGGGGCTTCCTTGAAAGTTAAGGATAAGGGAAATGCTACAAGTACATAAATTTGTACATAATGGTGTCCATAATTACACGTGGCACTGAATCCAACCTTTAATTCAAATCTCAAATTTGATCTTATCCACATCACATTATGGATACCATTATGTGGCCAAATTATGTACAATTAAACTTTTCCTAAGGATAATAATGTCAAAGTAAAATTACGTACCTTGCTCTTCTATTCTGGAACCACACTTCCACTTGTCGAGGCCTAAGCTTCAACTCATTTGCTAAATCTTGCTTATGTCTCTGACATAAAAAAAACTACCATCACTTTGGTCCTTAAGAAGTTGACAACATATAACCATTAGAGGTTATTTGACCAATTTTTGATAAATTTTTTAGCCGATTTTGATAAAAAAAAAAAAAAAAAAAAATTTATTTTTTGATAAATTGTATAATTGAAATTAAAGTTCGATAGTCCAAAATTCGAATTTGATCAAACGAGCAGCAAACAACGTCTCATTTGATAAGTTAGATTGGACAATAATTTATAGTATTATAAAACTTGTATACGAAAATATAATACCATATCTAGTCTTACTCAATAGAGTATATAAGCCGAGCGATCCGTACCCGAAAAGTATTTTGAGCATAGGATCATTTAGAACAAATTAATTTTTTTATTTTCTTAATTAGACTGATATTAAAATTCATGCCATTAGATTTGACAATTCTACTGTAACTGTCAACCTGATTGCAACTCTATGTTCACAATTATTCGAGTTTGGGACCGACTACTACGATAAATATAGATGAAGTTACATATATAAACATGTATAGTAAATACACAGTACTAAGGGGGGAGAGAGAGAGGGGTTACAGGATTAAGAGTGCTGTGTTGCTTGAAGCTTTCTTCTAAAAGGGCTGACTGTACTTTAGTGAGCCTAAGTTTCTTCCTTCCATTCGAACCGTCATCTTCTTCATTAAAAAATCTTGACGCCATTCTTTGTCTCTCTTCCTCTTCACAGGCAACCCTTCTCTCTCTCTTCAGGCTGCCACGGCAAGGCGATGAAACGCCACCACTATCCTGTGGTTGTAAATACACATGATCAACAGATTGATCAGCTGAAAGGGTCAGAGTAAGCGAGGGTTCAAATCCCTTTTCAAACTGATCATGATGATGATCATCTGATGAAAGACCTAATCCCAGAACAAGGCCTGTGTTGTGTATATCATCAAAACCCATTTATTTCAGAGTAGGGGAAAACAGGGGAGTCTGTTTGTGTTTGTTCAAAGGAAAGACTCTTCAAGGAGGATGAGTGGTTGGGTTGGGTGGGTGGGGGTGGATTTTCCAAGACTAATAATCAAAGGAATGAATTAAGTAGAGAAAGGAAAATGGATGTGAAAAATGATGAAATTTTTTGACTTAGAGACCCTTATATCTAGGAAAGTTTGACATGTTATTCAGGTTCTCTTTGAGACCCATTTTTTAAAATTTATTTTTATTAAATTCATTTTTAATTGCCATTCTTTCCACAAAATAAATTTGCACGAAAAACTCAAAACTTTCCCGATTTTTTAACTACACATCTCCATAAAAAAAACATTTTTTTTTACAAAATCTATTTTAAAAAAGGGGCTCGAACATGGACTAAAATGGATGAATTCCGTGTGTTAAAGATTAACTGCACATCCACAACTATAGATGATGAATATGCGGTCAAGGAAAAAAGGAAACGATGTATCGACCAACTTTACATTAATAATGTAATTTTCCTAATAATCAAAGGAATGGAAAGTAGAGAAAGAAAATTAGGTGTGGAAAATGATGAAAAGACCATAACTTTGTGTTCAAATAGGATGACCATTTGAACCCAATTACTATTTTCGATTAAAATGGCAAAAAATAAATAAATAAATAAATAAATAAATAAATATATATATATATATATATATATATATATATATGTATATATATATATATATAT